AATATTATATTTTATAATTTTCTTTCCTTCAAACTTCAAAGCAAAAATTTTAACGCGAGGAATGCATTGTTTCAGAAAGAGCTGCTTGGCTTCACCGTGGATATTTACTACCAGAAAAAAACCCACTAGAGTTTGACATGAAATCTGAGAAAATCAAGCAATCAAAATCATCTCTATAGCTTGGGCACATCTCTGGAAAAGCGCGAGTGCAAGAAGATGAACTTTTCCTCAGAACGTTAAGTAGTACTGTTCCGGCAATCCGGTTTCATTTATTCAGTAAAAAAAAAATAATACATATACATTTTTATAAATCAATGTGTGAAGCAAAATTTTTCTGTGGTTGTCGTTTTCAAATGCTTGATTTTTCAATACCTCTAAAGCAATTTTTTTATTGATAATTGTCTCAAAAGTGCTGTGTTATTTTCTCTTTCAAATATGCATATCAAAACTTAATTTCAACAACTTTTGCAGTTTGTTACTTGTATTTTGCTATTTCCTTGTGTTATTTTGTACTTTGTGAATTTTTGTGTAAATAAATATTTCTATACTGAAATTATCCATGCATTATTTACTTGTACCATATATACAATTAAGAAAACGCAAAGAGCAAGAAATAATAAACGAAAGGAACAGAATAGTGAAGTCGGACAATTTGTCCGAGTTGGGTCGTAAGCGCGTTGCGTTCTCCTCTCATTTAATCCAGGCAACCCAACTCGGACAAAATAGGAGAGTTGAAAGCGTACAGAGCTTCTGAGCGCGGTCTCCTATCTCATATGTTTTTCGGCGTAAACATTTTCCGATTCTCAATACAGACAGAGTAACCGCTTTTTTTCTTAAGTCATTTTTTAGCAGTTTGAAACGGACAGACTAGTAGTTAGGTCGGACAAAAAATTTCTGCGTGTACACGCCCCCGCCGGAATTCAAGAGTGCAGCACCCAACTCCGAAATGCATCAATCACCCTCTTGTTGGAAAAAAAAACACACATCTGGTATGTGATGATAATGGCGCATGAATTTAGTTTGCTTCTACTTCTCACATTTTTTGACGTATAATCAAAACTCCAGTTATGAAAAAAATATTTAAACAGTTTAAAGCATATATGTAATAGTGACGAGTATCCTAAATCCTAAATTTTAAATTCATCTTTATTGCATGCATTGACTTTGAGAGTCTTGAAAAGTCTTCAAAAATTTTTTGTCTAAAGCAATTTATAATTTTAACTTTTGAACTTTGCGGTATAATCTTTTTACTCGAATGACTATATATTCTATCCAAAAAGCACACTCAAATTTACAAAAGATGATTGATAATGTTACATTTTTTTAAACATAAATTTATTAGTACTTGATTATTTAACACATCATGCAGTGTTCAGAATATTGAGACTGCAATTTCAAAATCAAAATAAAAGAGATTTTGTCTTATAATTATAACTCGGCACTAAGCTGAATGAAAAACAATTATATAGATCAAATATGGGATAAATGAAAAATTAAAATTTTCCTTTAAATTCAAAAGTCCAAACAAAGACTTTATATTTTGGAATAAAAAAAGGAACATTTAGTTTTCTTTTAACAAGAGATCCTTTCTTGATTTTGTTTTGAATTGACTCAACATTTTATTCGCCAACAATTTTCTTCTGTATAGGGCGGATGCTCATTTCATTAATTTGCCAATTGATCGTGCAGGTTTTTTTTAAGTGTACGAGAGGAATGAATTAAAATTGGGGAGATAAACAATTTGCAGTAATCTCAAAGAAAAATCTCCCGACGAATTTCACAAAGATTAATCGGCGCTTAAGTGGCACAAATCCGTGTATAACCGAGAGAGTGCAGTCAGTCAGCGGGGGTAGATGGGAGGATAATGCGCGATCCCCATCAGCGCCCATGCAGTTAAACGTACAAACCGGGCATCGAATAGATTAATAAAGAAGGGCGTGCGCTGCGTGGATCCTCAATCACCATGTTAAATTCAAATTAGAAAAACACAAAGTGGACGCCGACTTGTTTAGCATGACAAAGGAGAGCCGTGCGAGAAGTGTGAACGCCCACGCCTGGTGATGAGATGCACACACAGGTAAAGAAGAAGTGCGCAGCGGGACGGCGTGCGGGAGAGCATCAAAAGGAAAAGGGCCCAGCGAGCACATCTGCCATTATCAAAAAACCTCAGAGGCAAAACGAGCGCGGTTGCGCGCGGCGGTTTCCTTTCATCCGCGCCTCCGACCTGAGAAAATGATGAATGACATTGTTTGTAACAAAGGTAATTTTCTAATTTTACAATAAATAGTGTTAAAATTACTTTTGTGGCCCCTGCCCGCGGGAGGTGCGCGCGTTTTTCTCTGCTCGCGGCTCTTTCCTTCGCCGTTTATACCCACAAACCGATGGGAAAGTCAAATAGTTTTCTTATGTGCACAGCATTCAAACTATACACTCTCACAATGGTTATATTTTATATACGGTGTGAAAATAAGGAAACAATTTTAAATTTAATATAAAATTTATAATAATATATTAATTTTAAAGAATAAACTGCAAATATTTACTATTTTTTACCATTTAGTTTATTATTAAACACTTATTTTTTTAATGTTTATTAATATTTTTTTATAATTCAATTTTATGTTGATATTTTACAGAATTATACTTTTTTTTATTAATTAAAATTTTTGTTTTAAATATATTATAACACAAAGATATAAGTATGATAAATCAAACATAATGTAATAAAAATGCTTGAAAAACTTTTGGTTGGGTTCCAATACACAGATCATTTTGTAAAGTTTATTATCTTGTAATGCGTAATTGTGAAGATTGGGAATGAATTGAAAATTGCAAAAAATGCAGCAACAATGATCAAACACAAAAAATTAAATTTTTTTTATTCTTAATATCTTAAAAAAAATCCATAAAGAATTGATTAGTTTACTCTCTGACATGATATATTTGACGTCGGCAATTGGTTCTATAAAGATTTTAGTTTTAAAAGCAGAATAAACTTATTTATAAGGGATTGAAATTAAGCATCATAATTATTGTCGCATTTATTGAAAAAGCTTAATTAGAAAAATTTAATATTATTTCACTTTTGAATTTTTAATTTTATCAAAAACAAAAAATTATTGCTCCAATACGATAAATACATGTTTATAGCTTTTTGTTAAAATTTCACTTTTTTAACAGTTGTGACAAAAGAGAATAATTACTAATACTGTGTTGTTATAGCTAGCGGGTGATTATCTCATCATCAGAATGCGTAAAAAACTGATGTGTATGTTTGATTACTTGTCTCGCTGATGCGCTCCAGCTCTCTCGCGCGGTGTGTGATGATGATATACATTTTACAATAAATAACAATTCCCGCGTTGTATTAGCGTTGCGCACTATAAGCTTAATACGTGTGACCAAGGCTGTGCTTTTGTGGCTTGCTGGTGTGCGATCATTAAGAAAAAAAGAGCATCTCACAAGGGGTGCTCTATGATGAGATCTCTTCATAAGTTTCTCAGCAAGCGGGATGAGAGCAGGTATTAGGCTGCTAATGAGCAATTAATTAGCGCCGAGTGCAGAGATGAGAACGCAACACATTCCAAAAGCTATTTTTACGTTTGCGCCTAATAGAGGAGATTAAGGAAATAAACTCTATATGGGCTTAAGGATATATTAATACAGAAGAGTCAAAGTTGTGGGTGGCCTCTGCGTTTAAATGATTTTGAGAGTTAATGGCATACATTACTCTAAGTCCCAAATAATTTTAAACCAAAAACATAAAACTTTGACGGCCACATATTCGCTGAATTTTTAAACAGCGATTAATTTACAAAAGCAATGTAAATGATATTTACTCGGATAAATTTCATTATTGGCAAGATATTTTAATTGTCTCTCAATGAAATGTTTTAAAGTTGTGGCAATGACGTGATAGTGACGTTGGTTATAAATACATAAGAAAACATTGCTCTAAAAAATCAGTATTAACAAATAATTTTATTAAAAACTCCTTCATTTACTTGGAGTATAAATGTATTTTTATTTAAAAAATATTTATTGCATGCGTGAGGTGCATTAAGATGAGATATAGGCAACAATAGCGTCCTCTGTGTATAGATGTTGCATACTTTACAATTTTCTATTTTCAAATGAAAATAATGTGTTTTATTAGTACCATGTTTTCAATGTCAGTGCAGGAATTTTTAACAAAAAACTTTTTAACGTAATGGTTCATAATGTTTCTTTTTATTTAATTAGTTTCAAACGTATGCGTTTTTTTACGTTTTGATTGAATATCTGCGACCTATATACATATTTTCATGGCTCTTACTCATTCTTACTCTAAGAAGTTTTCTCACATCAAAACTATTAACTATATAAATTCAATTTATAAATGAACTGTCATGTTGTTCAAAGATAAAGAGAAATAATAAAGAAGGAGAAAAAATTTCGTACATAAATTAATCAATGTATTTTAATTCTTATGAGTCTGTTCCACTAATTAACCATGTATCATGACTCAAAAGTCAACATTTGCATGTTCATGGTGAGATCAAATTACCGCATGTTTGCTCGCTGAGCTCGCGTTAATGAACAAACGGAGGCTGAAAGCGTCAGTCGCAGTGATTGGAATGACGGTCCGGCAGCTGCAGCGATTTGCATGCCGAGTGCATAAAAAGTGGTTTGCGGAGGCTCATATATGACGCAATAACCCGTCCGTCATTACTCTTCTCTCTCTCGCACACATCTGAACCTCCTCCGCTTTTATTTACAGATCCGCGCGCGCGTATATTTCAATATTTATATCGGCGCGCATGCAAACGAGCCTGCGGTTCGCGAAGCCGGCGTTGAAAGCAGTTTGATTGCTGGAACAATGGCGGAAGGCCCGCCTCTCGGCTGCATTGGCTGCCCGCGGCCTCCGAAGGGCGGCGCCGACGGGGGCGGGGCCAGCAGGTGCCCCATCGGCGCGAGGCCACGGACCGTCGGACCGCAAGAGCAGTTAGTCAGTCGTTGGAGCCTGAGTGAGCGAGATGAAATTTTAGAAGCAGAGTGTGAGCGAAATGCCGCGTCCGAGCCGAGAGTCGTACGGCGACCAGAAGCCGCCCTACTCGTACATCTCGCTGACGGCCATGGCCATCTGGAGTTCGCCCGAGAAGATGCTGCCGCTGTCCGACATCTACCGCTTCATCATGGAGCGCTTCCCGTACTACCGTAAGAACACGCAGCGCTGGCAGAACTCGCTGCGCCACAACCTCTCCTTCAACGACTGCTTCATCAAGATCCCGCGGCGGCCGGACAGACCTGGCAAGGGTGCCTACTGGGCCCTCCACCCCTCCGCCCTGGACATGTTCGAAAACGGCAGTTTATTGCGGCGCCGAAAGCGCTTCAAGCTCATGAAGACGGACAAGGAGCGCTTGGAGAACGAGTTGGCAGCCCTGGCCAACATGAACCGTTTCCTGTTCACCCCCACGTCTGCCCCCGAGCCACCTCCGTCACCACCCTTGGACCCCCGTGTCACGGAGACCGCCCCTGTGGCGCCACCTGAGTCGATTTCGCCGACCCCGTCGGCGCCCCGTCCCAAGCGGGCCTTCACCATTGAGAGTCTGATCACCCCGGACGACAAACCGGCCTCGCCCCCGGACACTACCCTGCAGATGGTGCATCAGGGTGGGTTTCCCAACACCCTGAGTCCGAACGCTGCAGCCGCAGCCGCCCTGCTCTTCTCGCAGCCGCCGCTGCCGCTGCCCTTGCTTGACCCTTCGACGGCCGCCTTCCTCTTCCACCACCCCAACCCTCATCTAGGGTGGTTCCAGTACCCACCCTCGCCCTTGGACACGCCGTCCACCTCGCCCTTGCACATGAGGTTCAGCCCCACCCTGCGCTCCGTCTGACCCGTGCTGACCCCCGCTGAGGTGGCTGCCCTGCAAAGGGCCTCTGCGGCTGGGGCGCCGCCACCGGAGGCCGCGGCCTCCGCACAGCACCTTGTGGGGGTCAACAGGTGACACTTTTGTGATGCGCAGGTGACCAAAATTAACTGATTAGCTTTGGGCCTCGCCGGTCCGTTTGTCTGTGTTCTTGCAAGACTTTTCTTAATTAATTATTTGTACTGATACATCTTTAATATATAGAGACAGTTCATGAGAATTAAGTGATTTCTTGAGTTTCAACTTGAGAACTTTCAGTAAAAAAGAACATTATTTGAAGCTGGAAGTGACAGATTGTTTGTTATACTTCTTAATTAAAATGTTGTCGTTCCTCAAATTTATGAAAAATTGTGCAATCGATTTTGAATTTCAATCTGTAACCTGCGCGTTGCTTCTTTTGTTTTTATTATTTACTACAGCCAAATTTGATTTTTGTAATTAGAACAGGTAGCTCTGCAAACGCACTTCCTCTCTGTTTGGATGCGGCAGTGGTGCTTTTTCAATCGAGAGAGGCGCTCGGAGGAAATTAAATATATTTTGCGTCAGGCTGTTTTCCAAACATAATAAATTTTTGTCATCTGTATGTTTTCCATCCCAACAAAAAACTCGCGCTTTTGCCACCGTGTTTCCTAACCACGTAGTTTCCAAAACCTTTTGTTCAGCAAATTGCTACCATAAAATATATTTTGATATCTTTGACAGCTTTTGATCCACAGTATAAATTTTGAAAAGCGGGAAGTGATTTTGGAATCACATTGAAGCACGCGCAGTTAAATGTATTACGAAAACAGAGCATAAACAATATGTATGTATTTTTTAAATAAATGTTCCTCTAAGTTATTAATTTCATGCAAAATATGTAATTATATGCGTACTAGAGATATCCATTGCAAAGAAAAAAATGTAAGTTAAATAAAATGGTGTTATAAAGATCGCTCAGAATAAAAGAAAACAAATTATGAAATGAGTAACTAATGATTTTATTTAATGATTTTCAAAAAGTAAAAGATAATCTTTAAATTTATATTGAATATAAAAAGATACTTTTATAGATCAATAAAACCATTAAAAAGTATAAAAAGTATTTAGAAAATTATTTTAAAAACAATGGTTAAAATTTAAGGTTTATTTAAACTTTTATATACCAAAATTAAAATTAAATATAAAATAATAAAATTAATTTTCAAATATTACTCAATTATTTAACACATAATTATTATAAGATCAATTTATAATTTTATAGGACGCTTTTAAATTATTTTAAAGGAAAAATAAATGCTGCAAAATGCTGAGGCAAATGATGACTTTTGTCATGCCATCAGGAGCTCTGGACGTCAAAAATAATTTTGAAATTCAAAATAAAAATTCCCCATTTGTCATCCATCCTGTTTTTATAAATTACCATTCGCCGTGTTTTCCAAAAAGATTTTGCCAAACGTCAAATACACTTGGGTTAGGGCAATTAATTGCACTTCATGTTGTGGAATTAATGAGCATGTATGAACATGGAGAGAGCAAACTGTCAACTTCATTTTCAGTGACAACATTTTGCGACACATTATTCCAAACCAAAAGAGGAAGATGTCAATCAAAGGGAGCAAATTGGAAAATTCAACGGTTGCAACAACGGAAAAGCACATCTGATAACTCCGGTACCGACAAATTGTTTTTAAAATCTAAAAACTCAATATAATCAGGATTTTTTTTATTTAAAAAAGCCATCTTGAAATAAAAATCGAAGACTTTGATAAGGCAACACGTTAATGCATTAATGTAAGTTCAAAAAAAAATTATTAACAGCACGATTTGTGATTTCTGATGTGCAAATAATAACAATGTCACGCAAATAAAGCAAAAGCCGGCGCTCTAATGTCAACCTTTCGTGTTGTTTAACCCTTTAGATCATTATTCCCATCCGCGAGATTGAGTGTGCATACGTGTCGGTGTATTTAACTTGCAATATCAAACGCGTCACATCAAAATGGTATAGCTTTTGTGTATGTTTTAAGGCGCGCGGGGCGAGAACAAAGTGCTCCCCTCTGCGTGCGTGCAGCTTTGCATCGGCGAATGTGTATAATGATTTGGCTCGTGTGCGCTGCAGGGTTGCCTATTTACCTTTCTCTTTTGGCGCGACTGCCCGTACACAATTTACGAGTTGCCCACACGTGATTGTGCATTTTTAAACTCGAAAAGTTCTCTAGTGGAAAAGGTACTCGAGGAGTTTGAGTCATTAAAAAAGTGAGTGGAAAAATTTTACTTTTAAATTCATGCATGATAAAGAAAATAAAACATTTAGTTAACGGGAAAACATTTAAAATATTCATTCAGCTTTCGCATATAGATCTGATGAGTTTTAGAACATTTTAAAATTAATTAATGTCAATGAAGTTCTGCTATCATAGTTAAAACTTCCAAAAATAATTTTACGTCTAGATATATACTTTTTTGAAATTTTATGTCATTAACTGCACAATTTGAACTAAGTGATTTATTTTATGAAGTTAAAAAATATATTTACATTTATCTGTTAGTTTTGCATGTTTCCCCTTTCATGAGGTGCCGCTTGAGTCCTATAAACTTGTTATTTCTTTTGATCAGCCATTAACAAACCAGCGATCTCTCTCTCACCATGGCAGCTGTAAATCAAAAGAAGCAGAGCTTCACATTTTCACGCGCAATCCGCACATGTGCCAATCAACGCGAGCACCGCATGCACCATGACTCGCTCATTACTTGAATTGACATAAGTTTTCGCCTGAAGGTTTGCAGTTATATAGTTTTTATTTTCCCCGAGAGAATTATTAAAATAAAATCTATAGTTAATCTGTTTCCATGTGCATTTAAAAGGTTGCTGGCTGGAACTGTGTGTGACACAGCTGATAATCGTTCACTTTCATGCAGGAAGAGCCGCACTCGAATATCACCTGATGCGCTGGTGCTGGTAAAATATTGAAATTTATCTAATTGTGCCATCTCGGAAATAACGTCCCCAGCAGCAGTGTGCGATATTTGGACAGATCATTTGTAATAATTAATAACGAGATCGTGACGGGGAAACCAGAGGCGCAAAACATTTTCGCAAATGGGAATTGCCCAAATAAATTAAAAAGACAGAGCATTCAGCAAAATTTTTAAAAACGCGTCAATCTGATTGTGAAAATTTAAACAGGATGCGCGCCTGATGTGTGACGCAAATTCATGGCTTGTTGACTAGAACAGAAAATTTGTAAATTTTGATATTTCCTTTGTATTCAAATTGTATGATTTTTGGATTTGCGGGTGTTATATTACCGGTAGAAATAGTCATTGCAAAACCTCACCCCAAATGAAACTAAAATTAAATTGTGTATAAGGGGAAATGTTTAACATTTTATAAACTGCAACAACTAATTCTGAAGCAAAAGTATATATGAATATTAAATGATAAATTATGCTGACATGATCTAAAAGTTAAAGTAAGTCTTGATTTAAAAAAAAAATTCAATCGCCAGTTTGCACATATAAATTAGCTAATTAATGGATTTTTTAAAATTTAATTTAGAAATCATAAAAATTAATTGCCCACACGGCTTTAATATTGAATTAGATTTCATTCCTGATCCTTTTAAATGAAGAACTCGTCGGTTCCCTTTCAGGTTTTACCTGGACACAGATAAAATTATACTTGTAAATAAAACGATTAGTGAGTTTTAAAGACGCGCGTTCATGTAAAAAGAAGAGTTCTTTTCCCATCCCTCTGAAGACGAGCGGTGCGTATATAATAAAAAGAAAATATACAAGGATGTAAAACGAGCTCTAGCGTTTTAGATTGGAGCAGAGAAACACTAAACGGGAATAGAGGTGCTGGAAAAGCGGCCCGGGCGGATGAGATTATTGATCTAATAAAAGTTTACCTCACAGCTATTAATTATATAAAGAGCGCGGCTGAAGCGATTTGCAGCTTTGGTGTGTTTTTCGGGCTGCCCAAATATTAATACTGGCGCGATAAAAGTCTGCTTAAAATACTTATTAAGCGTCAAATTTCCCCCGTAATATTTCATGCGCGCGAGAAAGAGAGAGAAGAACGCGTAATTATGACGGCCAAAGTGATGCAGGTTATCTCTCTCTGGCGGCCGCTCGCGCGTCCTTTATAATACTTTTCTACCTGCTGATGCCTTTTATAATATTAAAAAGTATCAGCGCTTTACCAAATGCCGACACGTTTGAGAGCCGAAGCACACAATACGCCGCGAGAGAGGCGGCGGTCTATTAGCTCAAGAATGCAGCATTTCCACCCGTGTGTTTTGTGCCAAGTATAAAGGAGACGAGCCGCCGAGCCACCAAAAAACATCATTTTACACTACTTAACATTTTTAACAACTTTTTCCCTCTATGCACGCATAAACGGCGGAAATCTTAACGCTTATCAACATTGTACAACCCCTTCTCGCATTCCCCACACAATTAAGAGAATAATTTATTGATGAGAGTGTTAAAATATTTTCCCTGACAACCTATAAATACTTGACATCTATGCATCTCCTTTAATTATAAAATTTTACTCCAATTAAATTTGCATACTTAATTATTTCCATGATCTGACCAGGTATTAAAGTTAAAGCTTTAACTGTAGCAAAAGTTTACAAAAGCTTACATTTCTTCGCGATGGCCGTGTCTCTTTCAATGCTAGAAAATTAAGCCTTTTTAACTGGGAAAACTGTGTTTTGATTATCCTTAATTTACTCTATTCGACCAAATTTTGTATTCACCAAGAAAAGCAAAAATGATTTTGAGTGATAAAGTTCTACAATAACTTAATAAATAAAAACATAAAAAATGTTTTGTAGTTAATAACAATATTATAGAAATAAAACATTTTTCTGGCTTTTTATTTGATTTTTGTTTTAAAACATTGCAAAATTAATAATAATTTTATTTACAAATCGTTTATTTCTAATTTGGCCAAGCATTTAATTGCAACTAGTTTTACTTAAGTTATATATATAAATTACTGGAATAATTAGACTTTGTACATGAGAAGTAGAAATAAAAATTGATGAGTCTTCTGCCTAACGAATAAATATATATTTAATTTTCTTGTGGTCAACCAAATTTTTTTAATTTTAAATAAATAGGATCTGCAATTTGTTATTGATATTGGTGAAGTGTTCTTCAAACCATCCTATATTGGGATTTTTCCAAGGTCCTTAATGTTTTAGATGAAAAAATGCCCATTTTATTACAATAAATTGACTTATTGGGAAAATAATATTCGGTTGTAATACCAAGCAGTTTTATTGATTATTTTATTTTATTTAAAATTAAATATTAGCTTCTTTTTGAAACTCTCGATATTTTTAGCGGCCCAGCGCGGCAGCACTTTTCTCGGCTACCGCGCCAGACAGCCAACGCAACCTTGACTGCTTTCGCGAACCCTTTCATGCGCCGCGCGCTCTCGCACCTTTTCTCATTATTTCCCATCTCTCTCGTTACCACCACAAATTATAATTATTATAACGATTTCGGCATTAAAATAAGAGCAGCACTCGCACGCTGCTCAGTTAAGTCAAGTTTAATTACACCCGTGGAGCGCGCGTTAAAATAATATTTGCGCTTGATAAGAGGAAATAAAGCAACTTTTCTCCCACCTTTCCAGAAAATTATTTTTTAATGTCACTCGCTCTCTCCCCATTCTTTTGGAACGATTTACAGCGATTTCAGTGCACAGCTCCGAATAATCTCGAGGGCGGGCGTTCAATTAAAAAAGAGCTGCGCAACTTTTATTGTTCCAAGAGTGGCCAGAACAATGGGCCATATATTTTCTACAATTTGTCTTGTTAATTTCAGACGAATGGTTGAAAAATTGAATAGGAAACACCTCTTTCATACAAAAAAGTTTTATTGCCCAACTTAAGGAGTCCCTTTTTAAAAGGTATCATAATTAATTTCAGCTGACAATCAGCATTAACT